AACAACCAGTAACCCCACCACGTAAAAATACTCTCGGTTACTTGCTGATTGAAGAATCGCCAAAACGGGGTTTACCTTTGGGTAGATCACAAGGCCCTCAAACACGTTCTGAAGGATGGACAGACAGGCGTCGGCAGCTAGACAGGCCTCAGGCAGGACGATACGTCGGATGGCCGAATCGTCAAGTGAGCGCTCGAGCCACTGAACGGAGGCGGTAGCCAGGCAAGGGGCGGCCTGGGCCATGAGGAGGCGGGCGAGAGCACAGGCCCGTTCACATCGAATGGGGTTTCGCTTGTAGGGCATTGCGCTTGAGCCGATCTATTTAACAAACAAGGCCACGTTGTTCATAGGTAGAATAAGGCGCGTTTGGACACTCTGAAAATCATAAGTTAACTTAAGAGTCCATAAAAGTGAAGTAAATAACAATAACTGTATTGCTAGCAGCTAGGATCGTTTCGGAAACCGCTTCACTTGAGGCAAACAGTGTTCTAACTTATCAGGATGAGTGGATGAACAAAGTAGGTGGATCAAAGGGGAATGCTGCAAAATGCGCAAACCCTCCTGAAACCGGTGTCTCAATAGGACGCTCTGTAAACGTTAAAAAAACGAAAGCAGCCTCCTAGAGCGGGAAGGTGATGTTTCCCAAACCCGCTGAGTTCACCAATAAGGCGACTAATGAGTACAGGCGAGGCTCTAACCTCGCAACCTCTTTCACTACTCCGGACGGCGTCACAGTAGGCAGCACGAGGTCGAGAGGAAAACGTGACTCCGCCCGGCAATAAAAGTTTCCACAACACGAGTTCCTCAATTTCCCGCCGTCCTCATTGAAAAAAGATTGTTGCCTATGTGTTGGAATCAAGTAACTGGGTTTAAATTGAACTGGTCTTGAATACCACAGAATCAAGTGCCATTTAGAGTACACTAAGCTACTTAGTATAGCCACTATTGGCTAAACTTCGTTTAGGAGTAAGACCAGGTTAGCCACAGTTTTAGTTCGTCTTGAGAGTTTAAAAGCACCTTCGACGATTTTTTATTGATAAAAATATGCGTTTAGTCTGAGTTGAATCAACCTCAAGGTACATTTATTCTCTCGCAGACCAGTGATCTATCCAAATTAAAAGAACCACGAATGAGGAGTTGATGCGGCATGAGCCGCCATCCAAATAGCGTCACACACATGTAAAGCAATAATTACGGAGTCACGCAGGCGGTGTGATTCGACTAACGTGTGTTACGGACCAACGTAGTCCTCATCTCGGCCTAATCCAATACTGGAACGGTCCGCGCCGTTGACAGGTAGGCTGTCGCAAGAAAACACGTCCATCATATATATATATATATATATATAT